CTTTGCTATTATGAACAAATGCCAGGGTTGCATATTGGCCAACCCCGGAGCTGCGGAGGTGTTACCTGCCCTCCTGCTGTGAGCAACCCCACCACACACACCCCCTCCTGCCCCTTCCTGAAAGGAGCAGGAAGGAAGGGAGGGATTGAGCGGGGACGGGTGGGGGGAGGCTGCCGGACCGTCTCTGCCAGCAGCTGCCTGCCAGCCTGGTAAGGACCCCAGGCTTCTCTCTCTGCCTCTGCTGCTGGAGGGGTAAATCCTCCCCCAGGTCAGGGGTCGGTCAAGCCGGTTGGGGGACTAGAGCCAGCAGGGTGCCAGTGCAGAGAAGGCTGCCCGGCTGGAAAGGCAACCGGGCCGATGCCTGTCCCGCTCACCAGCCTCCCACCCTCTCTGGGCTCCCCTGGCTAGGAAAGTTTTCCAAGATGGCCAAAGGTCATCAAAGCGGGCCAGAGGGGAGGCGGATTTGGCCTGACTGCCAGTTAAATCTTGCCCTCCATCCTGAATTGTATGAGGACCCAAGCAAGGGTCTGCAAAGGTGCTCAGTGGTGCTGCCTTGATCCAGCCAGGCTCCTTGGCAGGGGGCTCTCCCAAAGCTGCCCCATCTGGGTGTGACGCAAGGGGGAGGCAGCCTCTTCGGCAAGGGATCTTGCAGCCCACCCGCCCCATCCCCGGTCCCAAGATGCCTCTCCCTCCCCCCAGTAGAAATGCCCCGACTTCAAGGACATCTGAGCATCTTCCTGCTCCCCCTCCCTTCCAGAATAATGATCCTGCTAAGTTCCAACAGCAGCACATCTTGAGGTCAAATTCTCGCCCCCGCTTCCCTTTTTGGTTGTGAGCTTTGCTCTCACCCGTTTCGCAGCTGCTTCTGCCTCCACCTAGAAGGGCTTCAGCTCATGCAAAAGTTCTAACAATGGTTTGCCGTTCAACTGGCATCCACAGATCCCTTTAAGGGACAATGGTGGAGGTCCCAGAGGCCAACGCTGCCTCTTCCAGGGTCTGCTCTGAGATCAGACCCTGTAAGCCATGATACCCTTCAGAGGAGAATGTGAAACAAACCAGTGGGGACAGGGGTTAATCATGGTTTATTGCTTACTCTGTTCTGTGAGTCAGGTAACTGTGGCTTGTTGAACAAACCACAGCTAAACCATAACTTAGTGATAGCATCCCTGAGTACATGGAGACTGTCCTTCCCAACAAATTCTGCCTTTCAGGCTGAAGAGAGTCCAACGGTTACAGTCCCAGTCCAGAGGCAAGAGCAATAGCAAATGCTGTTATTGAGCAAAAGTCCTCTTAGCCGGTGGGAAATGCAGCTGATCCGCGAGGTGAAAGGCGGTGGAGCTCCCCACCCCAAAGCAGCTGTTCCCACAAGAGGCGCTTCTCCCCCCCCCCGAGGGCAGATGTTCCCCCGGCCGGTCCGCAGCCCTGAGTCCCCTCCTCCTCCTGCCTTTCAGATCATCAAGGAGATCAGCACCCTCTTCCCCTTCTTCAGAGAAGGCTACCAGGGCTGGAAGGACTCCATCCGCCACAACCTCTCTGCCAACGACTGCTTCCGCAAGGTGAGAGGAGCCGGAAGCACCAGGCAGGGCTGCCATCCCCCCCCACCGCCACCCCCAGGTTAGTTGTGCTGGGCCACACCACACCTTCTAGGCAGGGCACAGTGTCCTCCTCGCCAGGGTCCATTTTAGCTCGCACGCACACCTCATGCTCCCCCAGGCACATACCTTGGGTCCCTTCCTGGGGAACCTGTGCTATCGGAAATTGGATCCTCCAAGAGTTGGGCCCAGTTCAGCCACAGAGCTGAGCTTGGAGAACAGACACGGGATGGATCGGGCCGTGCGTGTTCCGAAGATGAAGACCCGGGATCAACTCCACGGCCGTCCCAGCACAGGGGAACGTGTTGCTCCCAGAGATACTCACTCCCGGTGTCCGCAGACCACTTAAAACTCTCTTTCGGTGCCTGGTTGAGGCAATTACCTCTTGATGGGCAGGAGAGGCGCTTTCAGAAATAGCCTTTATGTCATCTCGATGGCTCAGCCACCCAGACTCATTGGCCTGAGGTGGGCTAAATGTTCTGTATGCCTGTACCTATGTAAATAAGCAAACAAGCCAGCTGTCCGACTCCCCAGCAGACCCCAGTTCACCAATGAGGGGAATCGGAAATGCCAGGCCTCCTCCCATCTGGCTGACTCCACCCACCACCTTCAGCTCTTTAGCTTTTCCAACCCAACACGTGAGGCTGGGGGTGGCGACCAGGAGATCCTGGGTGCACAGCAAACCGCAGTGCAACAATGCACCTGGAAGGAGGTCCGGGATGTCTCCTTCTGGGGACAGGGGCCCTGCCTCTGCCTTCAGAAGACACACCTGCACCCTCCCCTCCCCTCCCCCCTGTCTTGCAGGTACTGAAAGACCCCACCAAGCCCAAGGCCAAGGGGAATTTCTGGACCGTCGATGTGGACCTCATTCCCCCGGAGGCTCTCAAGCTGCAGAACACGCCCGTCTCCCGACAAGAGGAGCGAACCTTCACGGTTGACCTGGCTCCCTTTGTGTACCACGGCTGGACTTTCAACGCCCCCCAGCCTCCCCTTAATGTGGCTGCCCCAGAGGGCAGGGGGTTTCCGAGCAGTGAAGGGGCCCGGCAGAGCAGCCCCTTCAGCATTGACACCTTGCTTCATGACTTCCAGGATGTGGGTCTCTCGGGGAAAGCGCGGGCAGACGTGGCACCACCGCAGAGTCCGACAGCTGGCTCAGAATCCTGGGGCACAATCCCTATCTTCCGTGTCTCCTCTGGAGCCCGAGTCCTCCCCTGGCAGCCTCCGTGCCCTCTGCCCATGCTCTGCTCCCTCTCTTCCTCCAGCAGCCGCTCCTCCCTCAGCTCCTTGTCCCCCACAAGGGAGGAGCCAAAGAAGGGGACTGGTTCCTCTACTTTGGCCAAGCGCCCCAGAGTCATCTGCCCAGCCCCCGAGAGCAGTGGCTCCGACTCCAGGGAAGACACCCCACCTCCTCCTGCCCCATGCTGGGAGCAGCTCCCCACTTCATATACTCCATGTGTGGCTCCCAACGTAGTGGTAGCACCCCCAAGCCACACCCTACCCTTCTCAGCCTTTCCCTCCTACAGCCCCACACCTTTTGCACACCCAGCCTACTGGGAGCTGATGCCAGGGCCCTCCCTGAGTCCAATCGCTTCCTCCAGAGTCTGCTTGGACCTGGACGAAGCGATGCCTCCCAACAAGACCGTGTTTGATGCTTGGATGAGCCACCCCATGGACATTGTCCACCCAGCTCTTCCCAGGACAGGCCTTTCCTCCAGGAGCTCAGTGCTCACCCACTACAGCCTCTCCTGAGAACAGCCTTTGGCAAGGGAGTAAGGTGGCCGGTTAGGCATGTCAGCCATGCTTTCTGTCCAGGGATGACCACAGTCACCACCACCACCACCACCACCTTGTCCTATGACAAGCCTTTCTTGTAGACCTTGTCAGCATCTCCAGAAGACAACACAACAGTCCCATAACCAACCACCCAGTGAAGAACCAAACAGGAGCAAACCATCCAGGGGAAAAGCAGCTGTCTGCCCTTTTGACCATTAGGGACCTCTTATCCTTTTGAGTAGATGGGGTCTCCCATAAGAAATGAGAGAGGGGGAATCTGCCAAGCCAGGTCCTGAGCGCCATCATGAAGCCAAAGGGCACAGGGAGGATGAGAGCTGGGGAGCCCTTGGTGCTCTCTGAGCTTGGCTGTTTGCTTGCAGACATTGCACTACCCGACTAGATCGCGTCGCCAGCGCAATCATGTGAGTCTCTGATGATGTTGCCTACTTGGGTAATGGATAAAGAAATGTCCTCAAGCCAACTCCATAGTTCAACCCTGAGCTACATGTATTCTCTTCTATGGGGTGAAAGCTGGCCCCGCTCTTCTGAGTCCTTGCTTGAGGCTGAAGATTGAGAAATGGACCAAATAAGTCAGGGTGGGAAGCAGATTGCTTGGCTCTGCAAAGGGATTCCTGAAGAGCTTCAACACCCAGAGGAGGGGTAGCATTATTTGGAAGCCTTAACTGGTGCAAAATGTGGTGGGGCGGGCAATTACCAGTGCCAGTTACTTGGCACATGGAACGCCACTGCTGTGTGAGCTGCATTGGATGTCACTGTGCTTCTGGGTGCAATTCAAGTGCTGGTTTTCACCTTTAAAGCCCTTCATGGCGTAGGACCAGGTTACTTAAGGGACTGTCTCCCTAGTTGTTCCTATCCATCCTACCCGATCTGGCAGGAAGGATGCTCCAGGTACTGTCGGCTAGGGAGTGTCAGTTGGCGGAGCCCAGAAGGAGAGCCTTTTCTGCCACGGCACCCGCCCTTTGGAACATCCTTCCCCCGAGATTAGATTAGGCCCGTCCCTGTTGGCCTTCTGTAGGGCCTTGAAACCTTGGCTTTGTGCCCGAGCCTGGGACCCTGGGCGTGGGTTAGAGCCCGTCTCCTGGTTGTGTGGATGACAGGTTAGGTTCTGCCCGGCTGCTAGGTGTTTCTATTTGTATTTGTTTTTCTATCGGGTATTTTGTGTTTTTGATTCACTTGTTTTATTGTAAGCTGCCTGGAGTCATGCAAAAGTGAGATGGGCTATATAAATCCAATAAATAAAGACATCACTGCTGACGTACGTATGAGTCCCTCGTCTCATGTACTTGACCATCGCAGCAGAGAAATCATGGTGGGAGATGTCAGTTCTTCTCCTGCAGGGACAACAGATCCCTCCTCCAGAGTACCAGAGCAAACCTGTCTATATTGGCTTACAGGTGGTCCTCAGATTACAACCCAGATTGGGAGCGGAATTCCTGTTGCTAAACGAAGCAGTCAATAGGCAAAATATCAAGTGACTGCACTGCTTTGCGACGGCAGTCCCGGTTGCCTTCACTAGGCGAGGGCCTCGCGCACGAACTTCCTCTGCTTCAACTCCCCCCCACCTGTCTCCTTTGCCTTGCCTCCCCTCCACTGGGCTCGCCAACACCAGCTGGCCTCAAGCCTCACGGCGCAGGGGCTCTGTTGGCGCTGGGCTCACCTTCGCCTCCCCGGCCGCCAGGCTCCTGGCAGGCCTGCCCCACTTCAGCAGTCTCAGCCCATCACCGGCTGGAGGTCGTGCACAGATGCTCGCCGCCACTGGGAGAGGGGAAGCGAGATGAAGACGACAATGAAGGTCAGCTGAGGGCAGTGGCAGGGGGGTGGGGGGCAGCATCGAGGAGGTGGTGGCAGAATACAGCGACCTCTTCCTCTTGGCCATGCTGTGCAGGGCAGCCAAAAGGGCAGAGATGGGGGGGAGACAGGTGGGTGGAGGGAACTGAAATGGAGGCAGTTCACACAGGACAGGAGAACATGCCCACAGGATGCTGCAATGGACATAAATGCGGGCTGGTTGCCAAGTGCCCAAATTTTGATCATTTGATTTCAGGGACAGTGCAACAGCTGCAACTTCAAGGACCAGTTGTAAGTCCGTTTTTTCAGCACCGTCATAACTTTGAACAGTCACTGAACAAATGGTCATGACCTGAGGACTACCTGTATTCCCTGATTCTAATATTTGAAAAAGTTAGAAAAATATATGATTACAACATCCCAGATAAGCCAGATTAGTTGATTGGGAATTATGGAGTCCAACATGTCCTGAAGCATTGGGTGGGGCAGCTCAACTAACAGTATCCTACCTCTGGACTCAAACTGACCCTGAATTATTGAACTGAAGCAGTATGCCTCCCCTCCCCTCCCGTCGCCTCCCCACCCCACCTGGTGTGCCTGGCAGGATCCAGTAGCAGCACCTGGCTGGCTGGAATAATCAACTCCATCTGTCAAACCTTTACCACATGCCAAGCATTTATTAAGTCCTTCTCATTAGGCCCTCAGGGCCAATCGGTGCCACGAGCAGTGCCAAATGCCTTCTGAGTGTTCCCATGGCTTCTGTCCTGAAAGCTTTGTTCTACCAACAAGGAAGTCCCTGCAGTCAGTGAGGGTGGAGCTGAGCAGACATGCCCAAGTTCATAAAACAGCCAAGCAATCTGAAAGTCTCTTATGTCATCCAGATGTTTTCTCTTTCCTTCACATGCCCAGATTTCATACTGCTTTTATTCTTTATGGGTTATTTGAGGTTTCTAAATGGGGGACCAACACGCGTACTGTATAGCAAAGCGTAATTTAATTTTCTCTTGCCTGAGGTTCTATGGGCTGCACCCACACACGCAGGAATTAGGGATCTTACTGTGGTGTCTGGCCGTGATGGGAACTGTAGCTGACACATCTGGAGATTACACACACAAACACGTAGTACTGGGCAGGGCCCTACAGCCACAGGCAGCCGAGCAACCTTTGTGCACAGGGCTGATAACGTCCAAGGCAATTCATCAAAAGGTCACACAGTTTCTTGTCAAATGGAAGCCACGATGCTTTCAGTGAAGGTTCCAGGGTGTACATGCTGTCTTGACTACAGCATCTTCTGGTCTTCTGTGATGTAAAAACAGCTCCTTTATCGGCACTAACCCTGTACACAAAATGATGCTATGGAAGGGTCCTGGAGAAGTTGCCAACAGGGGCTCCCTTCAACTCTTTCTCTTCCAGACCTTCCTTTTTCTCATCCCAGATAATTCACTAGCCAATTACAAAGAAATCATCATCAATAACGTGTCTAAAAATAGAGCAACAAAATTGGTACTGAGGACTTCAAACTGTTTATTTTCCTCAGAAAAGATCTGGGCACCTTGATTCCTCCATTCCAGTCTTCTTCTCTGGTTCTTTTGCCACCTATAATAGATTCATACAACTGTGGCATTGGAAGGGATCACAAGGATTGCCTCCTCCAACCCTCTGCAATGTGCAGGAAAACCAATTAAATCATCCATGTCGGATAGCTGTCCAGCCTCTTCTTAAAAATCTCCAGAGATGAAGAACCCACAACCTCCGTAGATCATCCTTAGCTCTTCTGCTGTTTCTGTAGCCAGTCACACTTTAGCTCTCGTGTTCAGCTCAGAGCAGATGCATCATGATCTGGTTCTGGGGAACTTTTCTATCAGTCCATTGTGATGGACAGATCATTTCCTCATGATGATGAAGTTAACTGGACCCCCTGACCTCTGCAGGGAGGAGCAGCTTATTAAGATGGCCCACCCTGGACACCTGATGGGTTGAGCAGGGTTCCTAACAGGGCTTGGGGAGTTTCCTGGCCATTCTGTTGGACACCTTGTTGGCTTCTGGAATACGCGGGGTGGGGTGGGGACCAGGGCACTTGACAGGACCAGCCCCGAGCAACCTTTTCCCATCTGCCAATCCCCGGAAACTCCTTGGTTTACTGAGGAGCTCTGGGAAATAAAGCAAGTGAAAGAGATTCCTGGACCGATGCTGGCAGAAAAGAAGCAGCGAATGCGATTGTACGCAAGAGCCTGAATCTGAGCCTGCATTGTGGCAATTAAGGCAGCAAAGTGTAATTATTTCTCCGCCCTTATTGTGCCTGCAGAAGATCAGCCAGCTGCATTGCTCAAAAGGTCTCAGACCCTTTGCGGGAAGGATCAGCTGGAAAATCCAGTCCATGTAAGTTGTGATCCCCTGGCCAAGCATTTTGTGGATAAAACCACTCACATTTGCTACAAGTCAGCCAGGCAGAGTCTATCGAGATGACAAAGGTGACATCTTGTGGTGTTACCTGGGAGGTTTTTGAGCCTGTGGATCTCAAGGAAGCAAACAAAGGGCCCTGCGATCTGACTTGGACCACTGCCCCCCCCCACACTAATTAAAGCAGCCAGGGAGGAGACCAGGAGTTGGATCTAGGATGCAGTCAATGCCTCTTTGAGGGAGGGGACACCCGAGGTCCTTAAAGGGGCCCTGGGCCACTCACTCCTCAAGAGACAGCTCTGGATCCAACCAAACTGGACAAAGATCATCCTATCTCTAACATCCTCTTGTTGGGGGAGAGGGGAGAGGTTGTTGAGGAAGGGGGGGAACAAAGCAGAGGGCTCTGGGGGTTATCAGGGCTCTGGGCATCTGGTTTTAGAAGGTGGTGGGGTGACAGGCAGGAAGACTGGTGGCAGCAGTGGGAGGGATCTAGGAAGACTAAGGGAGGGATACCTCTAAAATGGGGCATAACCCCTAAATTGGAAGCACCTACCCAGTCTTTCAGATTTTGTTGTTGTTGTTCTAAAAATTAAGCAAGGTCAGTAGTACTTGAATGGGAATTAGGCTGGATTGGGAAATTTAAATAAAATCCCAGAAGAGCGCAGCATTGCTGCCAAGAAACCAAGAGTGATTGCTTTTAAAAACCCTTTTATAATCTAATGACTGCTCCAGTATCTATTGTAAATCACTCTGTATTTTTTTTAGGAAGTAGTAAACAAATGCTTAACATAAACAGCTAGCGTTCCAAAATGTTAACATATTTATTTAAAATATTTGTATGGCTGTCCATCTTAAGCACAACTCTA